GCCAAATGTCATAATGGTAATCCACACCAATAAAGCTGCAAAAATGGAGCACTTCATCCGCCTAAGCCTTGTATGCCACACAAATCGAGTAAGTATTTCTTACTTATGCGTCTACCTTACACTTTGATGACATTTTGCTTGGAAAACAAAATATTATCAAAGTGGGGGCAAACTGTAGATGCTTAAATTTTGCCCCTAAAAGGTTTAGTGGGGGGCAAACTGTAGATGCTTAAATTTTGCCCCTAAAAGGTTTAGTGATGATACACCGTTTTTTGTCTAAAATTGGATCGAGATTTTTGATCTCCCCGATTCTCAGACCAATGGTCCGTAACTGAAATTATCTATGTGTTTAACCATATTTACTTTTTCAGGTCATCAGGCATTTCACTACGAAACCGGGCCCGGAAGCGTTGAGCTCACCAGCATATTTTTCAGTGTCCTGCCTCGTTTCGCATGCCACCCGGTCCAATTTTATAAAAGTGGGCCTAGTCCTATTGCAGGGCCCGACAGTGGCATTTTTGCCACATCAGCCCTAAATGGCCCACCCCACCTTGAAATAGGCATTGGGGGTGGACTTTGGGAGGATTTTTTGGAAAAACTAAGGGGAGAATAAAAAAAATAAAAATAAAAACCTGATATCAATCTAAAATCCTAAAAACACATACTTTAATCTTAAAACTTGGACTATTGGATTGAGAACCAATGAGTTGGGTTTCTTCATCCACTTTTCATCCAATCTTTAAATGGAACCATCAAAGATAGTTTTTGAGAATCTTTACTCTCTTTCCTCATCTTTTTCTTTTCTTTTTCAGTGTTTAAAACACCTTTTCTTTGTTCTGGTTGTGAGGGAAGCCTATTATCAACCAAACAGGAGCTTCTGCACTGCTGTGGTGTAACAGATTGATTTTTCTTTTAGTGTCGATAATAGTGATTTATCGGTCTGTGAATAGTACCATCGGTCCGGGACTTGGTATTATTTTAGTCCGAAAAAATTACGGGATAAATGAGGTTGATTTATCGGTCTGTGATATGTATCTCTATCGGTGCCGAGGGACTGTGGTATTATTTTTAGTCCAAAACATTGTACCGTATGCAGTAGTTTAAGGACGTATTCTAACTTTTAGACTATTTTGTGAGCAAGATCGCTTTTGGCGCTAGGTATTTAGGTGGGTAGAAAAATATTTAACTGCATATGTTTTGGAGAAGTTATGTATTAAATAGCATATATTACTCTAAGTGGTGGTAATATTAAGAAATAAATGGAGGGAATTAATTTTAGTGGAGTTAATATTAATTAATTGGTGGAGTTAAATAAGAAGTAGAAAGAGAAGTTGTATTTGAGGAATATTTAAGAGGACACACGATTGTGGATCGAGAATTACTTAGGGACTTGATCTTAGCCAACACAGTGTTTGCATGATTTTTAGGAAGTCAAAATTTGACTTTGGGCACCTTAAAAAGTTAAGACACCGACACATCTGATGTGCGATCACCAGTTTCTATCGTATCTGCTCTTCCTTCTCGCACGGCCACCATTTGTCTCCATTTTCTTTCCTTCTTCTTTCATTTTCCTTCATTTCTACCTCCGCAAATTTTTACCAACCAAACTAACCTAATTAAACCAATGAGAATAGGACTTAATGCTTAAGAATTAAGGAGTAGAGAGGTGAGATTTGGTGATTAAAAGCAAAAGAGAAGTGAAAGTTACCAATTGAAAGTCAAAGTAAGAGTTGTGGGTTTTTGAAGTTTTTGTGAATTGTGGTTAAAGTAGAAATTCATAGGGTTTAAACATGTTTTGATGCATTAAATCCATTGCTCCACTAATTCTCTTGGTTGTCAATTTTTGCTTGTAACTGGTTGATTTTTCATGCTTTGAGAGAAGAGTTTGGCAGCGCAAACATTCCTCGCAACAGGGGAAAGAGAGAAAGCACAGGGGAAAGAGAAAGCCAAGGAGTAAGGCTTTCCAAGCTTAATCAAGCTTGTTAATAAGGTTAGTGCAATCATAATTTCACTTGTTTAAGTTGTTTTAAATGGTTAGGGTTTTGAATATATTTTGGGAACTTTGTATGTTTTGTTGAAATTGCTGAATTTTAATGTGAGATGTGTTCTGCCGTGGGATTGGAGCTCATTTTTGACCCCTTTATACTTCCCATTTGTTTTTTACTTTTTCATGAAAGTTTTAGCTCTATTTCTCAGATTTCCAAAACATATTCTTATGTCTAATTCCAATACTTGTAGCTCAACTTATGATTGAAATACCAAAACTGAAATATCCAAAACTGGTTCTTGTATGATTTCTTACCTATAGATCCAAAATTATGTCCATTTTTGACCACTCAAATGGCAAAATAATGTCTTATGTTCTTCATAAAAGTTATAGCTTTTACTTCTTTATCTTTCCCAACCCATCCTCTTGTGTCCAAATTGGAGATACATAGCTCAACATGGGCTGAAACACCCAAAACGACTCTGTTGTGTCGGGCCACATTGCATCACTAAATTTGAGTGCCCATTTTGACCACTTAAATGATAAGATTAGGTTCTGAGTTCTTCATAAAAAGTTGTTTGCCCTATGTCTAGGAATTCTCTCGTTCTGGATTGGTTTCATTTGAGTTTGGTGAGTAGGAATTTCAAGAAACATTGGACTTGGTTCTGCTGAATCGCTGAATCAGGTCTGATCTGTTGGTCTGTGTTCTGAGCTTTTGTTTGTTATCTTACTCTGTGATCTGGGCTGTGGTCCCTTCTGAACATTTGTAGCCATTTGTCTTAGATTTCTAATGAATCTGATTTCATTCAATTTGAAGACCCATAACTCAAATTATGTGTTAAAAATCCAGCAGAGGTCAAGTTTTGGAAATGCTGAAAAGTTCTTCATTTATGTACTTTTATACTATATTAAGCGCCCACCTTAAGTACATCACTTCCCTCTCACACTTAACCGATGTGGGATTCGCCTAAGGTGAGTGCACTGTCACTACAGCCATCGCTCACAGCCACCGCTCATAGGCCACGGTGTGCGATGGGCTCTACTATGCATGATTGAAACGTGGTATGATGAGATTGATTTTGTTATTGTGAAGCTATGATCATATGCTAGGGTTATCATCCCTTACAAATAGGCGGACGCGCTTATTTGTGTGATGGGGTGGTGCTTTCATAGGCCACGATTGTGCGATGGGGGTGGCGCTAATATAGGCCACGATCTCTAGGCCACGGTGGTGCTTTTCATAGGCCACGAGTATGCTGATATGGGGTGGCGCAATATAGGCCACGATCAAATCTGCTTATGTTCATTCAGCATGAGTAACGAAGGCCTCAATTTATTACTCTTGCATTTCTTCAAGATTGACGGAAAATTTAGAAATAAATTTATGTATTAAGCAGTTAACAAAATACAAAGTTCTATATGCATATATGCATATCTTTTACCATATTTATTTATTTATTACTCTTGCATTTCTTCAAGATTGCTGCATTTATTAGTGATTAGTTCATTTCTTAAATATTGTGCTTATAAGGATTTTTTTCTTTTTTTATCACGCGCAGGTTAGGAGCGGAGGGTGTTCTTCAAGACCAGAGGACAAGAAGACCAGAGGACAAGCATCAGAGTACAGATCACATTTTGGGTAGGATATTTTGTAAATGGTGATTTTTGGCATGTATATAAAGATTGTATTATGAAGGTTGTATATAATAAGTTTATAATATATTAAGAGTTATGATTATTGAAGGAAATAACATCTTATTATATTTTTGGTGTATGATGATTATATATTCCTTGAAAAGAACGTGTTTAGACTATGATGCGTATGTTGATGGATATTTAGAAGTGCTTGTGGTATGTTATGTTGAATTGGAGTTTTGGGGTTTGGAGAAAATTGGAAGTGTGTATATTTTTCTTTGCTGTGGCAAGTTAATTTTTAGGGAAACTCCTTGCGAAATTTTTTCGTAGGGAATTTCCTTAAATATTATTTTACGTTAACAAAAAAAAAAAAAAACAAAAAACAAAACAAAATGTTAACTTACCTTGCCTCCTTATGAAAATTTAACCACTTCTAAATTTATGAATCTAGCTGTTAATAAGTGACATAAGACGGTGCTCCCTGGACCATTGTGGCATTCCACCGTCTGGTTCTCCGGGGATTAGCCGGTGGGTTGTTACATGTGGCGTGTGGCCAATAGTAGTGGCGTGGTGCCGATACATGTGGTGCGCCACCACTTCCCCCGATTGTGGCATCCACCGTCTGGTTCTCCGGGATTAGCCGGTGGGTGTTACATGTGGCGTGTGGCCAATAGTAGTGGCGTGTGCCGATACATGTGGTGCGCACCACTTCCCAGTGCCTCATGCCACTATTGCCCAAATCTCTTATTCTTACCCTATAAACTCTAGAAGCTTTCGTGATCTAGGAAAGGCCCTGCACCATTACGTGTGGCGTGTGCCATAAGCATGAGGGGCACACCATTTCCCCCTGTGACGCAAGGCCTTTTGATTCAGAGACTCTGAATGTACCAAACCCAATAAACGTCTTGATTCGGAGATCCAGTGGCCAAGCTCCAATCAAAAATGGTTCGTGATGCGTATTAGGTCATACATGGATCAAATAAAATAAGATTGAGAAAAATGATTGATGGATTTTCTCATCTTTCAAAGATAAACATCAAGATCATGAGTTTAAATCCCATATAATGTTAGAAAAATTTTGACTTTCTCTGTGTATAAAACGGAGGGAGTAAAATTTAATTGAACATTAATAGACTCTAATTGATTCTTTAATCTTTAATGTTCTTCTACCTTCACCCGACGGATCACTGGCCGGGCCTTAAAACCTTTGCTAAATATTTAATTAGCGAATCGGGTCAAACTTAGAAAACACCCGTGAAGCTTAGGTCACTGGGCCTAAGGTTCAGTCCAATTCGATTCAAGCCCAAACGCTCAATGCCAACCTGCATTTACCGAAGAGCCCCTAAATTCGTAGCGCAATCCCGTTTCAGAACAAGAGGCATTATCGTACTTGGACAAGAACTAACAATCCAGAATCTGTTCCCCTTTCCTTAAAGCCCAAGAACCTCCTCCAACCAGAAGACTTCTTATTTTTTGTATGCAAACACAAATTCCAGGAAAGAAGAAAAAAGTTAGATAGTACAACTTTTCATTTTCCAATTGTAAACCCTAAATAGAAAGAATTACAAAAAAAATGCCATCGGAAACGAAGTTTTTGCAAGAGCTGGTATTGTACGCGGCAAGTGCAGCTCTAAGTTGTTTGGTATTGTTTGCGGGTCTCCGACATCTCGACCCCAACCGGGAGGCCTCAAAGAAGGCACTTGAACAGAAAAAGGAGATAGCCAAGCGCTTGGGTCGGCCTCTCATCCAAACCAATCCCTACGAGGTATGCACCAAATTGTATTGTATTGGGTTCTGTTCATTTTTTTTTTTTCAATTAGTGAGATATTCTTTTTGTTTTTTGTTTTTAGAATTTTTGTACGGGTTGTGCAATACATGGGTTGTGTTTCTACGGCTTGTGAAATGATGGGTGGTACTTGTACGCGTTGGGATTATTTTTTTAGGAATTCTTGAAAAACATCTATCTATGCTGAATTAGTTAGGATTGAAGTTCCAACTTCAGGGTATTGAATGAAATTGTTCTTTATTGGGTTTGAATTTGATATCAGTTTAAAGTTCTTGATAAGCTTTTGGGAGATTGTTGAATGTGGAAAAAACCTTGTATTTAGTAGGGATTTGGACTACTCGCTAAGGAGTTGTATGGCTAGATGTTGAGACCCGAACTTTACTATTAATAAAGTGACCTACAAAATCAACTTGTAAAATTGCACCTATTGGAATTGCACATATTGAACACTTCAACTTACAAAAATTGTACTGATTAAACACTTATAAATATTTAAAAAATATGAAAATCATTGTCTAATAATTCATGTTAAAAATGTACAAAACTTGGCACTTATTGAAAATAGATCTGCTAATTGAAAAATGCGTAAAATTATGTGCAATAGAATCTATTTTACAAGTTGAAGAATTCAATAGATGTAATTTTACTAGTTAAGTAGAGGGTGCCCATTTTTTTTTGTGTAAAATTTAGGTGTCAATTTATGTATTGAGTAGTTGTGATTTTGAATACTTATGTCCTCCAAGTCCAAATCTTGATTAGTAAAATTCAAAACTATCAAGTATTTTAAATTAATTTTGGAGGGTCAGGCTTTTTGTTGGGTCTAGACTAGAGCTGCTTTCACATATTACTATTTTGTTAGTTGCTTAAGCTTTTCTTTTTTTGTTGGGTCCTCTATTCTTTGTTAGATGTAATTTTCCTCTGAAAATGTAGGTTGAGGACTTTCTAATGTAAGATGGACAAAGGAAACTGATTTATTGTTATTCATGAGCGTGACGAATTTGCAACTTGGAGATGAAATGGCTGTTATGATGTGTGTTTTTCTGAAATTCAATTTATTTTTTTTTAAACTTTTTTTTTGTAGAAGTAGAACTGCTGGAATGTGTATTACATATTCTGCTGAACAATTTATTACTGGGTGGGATTTGAGTCTTCGCCATCAATTGAAAAGTGTGGCGCTGGGTTGGTCTGGGATTTTGTGACTCCATCAGATTTCAAAAGAAATACAAAATCTCATTGATGGCCTCAATTTTTATTTTTAATTTAGGAAAATTAAAAAAATTAAAATTGGGTTCAGGAAGTACATTCTGATGGGAAATTGGAGTCAGGAAGTACATTCTGATGGGATACCAATATAAATGCAGCCTTTCTTGAGGAAATAGGGGTTCTTAGGCAAGAGGTTTAATTGGCACAGACTTGTTTTGAATGACAAAGCAGGTTGTAATAGGTGAATCTTCCTTTTTTGTTTATTTATGCATGGTGAATATACATGCCGATGCCTAGGGGTGGGAATTGCAATGGAGAAACTTTTTCTCTGTCATTGGTATATGGAAGACAATTTTTTGGCAATTGCTGATGGTCTAAAGGTCTATTACCGTCATGTGTTTGGCAACATGATTTATTGTGATAAAGGCTCTCTGAGGTTTAGCAATGTCACATCGATGATTAACTTCTAGTAAATGTCTTTTATTTGTGTGTTTCGATTTTTAACAGGATGTGATAGCCTGTGATGTAATAAATCCGGAGAGCATCGATGTGGAATTTGATTCCATTGGAGGATTGGAAACTATCAAGCAAGCCTTGTATGAATTGGTGATCCTTCCACTGAGGAGACCTGAGCTCTTTTCACATGGGAAGCTTCTTGGCCCCCAAAAAGGAGTCTTGTTATATGGACCACCAGGTACCGGTAAGACTATGCTTGCCAAAGCTATTGCAAAAGAGTCTGGAGCTGTTTTTATTAATGTGAGGATCTCAAATCTGATGAGCAAGTGGTTTGGTGATGCGCAAAAGCTCGGTGAGTTAAGATTCTATTTGTGCTGCTTTTGCTAAAATTTTAAGGTCTCTTTACTTTTCCTTGTGCTTCAAATTTATATTATTTCTCAAAATGATATCATTTCCTATTATGAGTCACATAAATTTACAGATGGCGGATAAGATATCATTTCCTATTATGAATCACATACATTTACAGATAGCAGAAAATCTTTGTTAAGCCATTGTTTATTGTCAAAGATTGGATTTACACCTTTTGTGTGGTTAATTTTGTCGAAAATCATTGTGGGTCCTGGGGCAGGGTAAGAGATGTCATCATATTCTTTATATTAAAGTTCATATGAGAAAATATTTCTGAAGGTGGCATGAGTGTTTCTTGTTCTTTGGGATTCTCAATTTCAAATTAAGACGGTGGAATTATTTTGTAGTTTTCTTAATCTGTTGATCGAGTTCATCAAACATTGTCATTCAGTTGTCTTTCTTTCGTCTTCTTTGAACTCATAAAATTTCTTATATGTGGTTCGTGCCACGTAATTTGTTGTCCTTTTTTTCTGGTAACTATAACAAGTGAATTGGTGGTTTCTTTTGCAATCCTTCTGCCTGGGACAACAATGCTAATCTCTATACTGTTGATTTTCTACTATGCTGTTGCAGTTGCTGCTGTTTTTACCCTGGCTTACAAACTTCAGCCCGCTATTATATTTATTGATGAAGTTGACAGTTTCTTGGGGCAGAGGCGCACATCAGATCATGAGGCATTAACTAACATGAAGACCGAGTTTATGGCCTTGTGGGATGGGTTTACGACAGACCGTGAGTCTTTAATACTTCAAACAGTTGTGACATTTGTACTTTTCTTTTGTGTGTGTTAGTGGAAGTTACTCATTGACATATCATATCTAGGATATATGAGATTTAATGCACTTGCATTTAGTTATATCAGTGTGGCCTAAGCTATTTTGATTTTAATCATATTTAGAGAGTGCACGAGTCATGGTTCTTGCTGCTACAAATCGCCCATCAGAACTTGATGAAGCAATACTTCGGCGCCTTCCCCAGGCCTTTGAGATTGGCATGCCTGATCGCAGGGAGAGGGTTGAGATATTAAAGGTTATTTTGAAGGGTGAGAATGTGGATAACAGCATTGACTTTGACTATATTGCAAGCTTGTGTGAGGGTTTCACAGGTTCTGATCTTCTTGAACTATGCAAGAAAGCAGCATACTTTCCAATCAGGGACCTGTTGGATGAGGAGAAAAAGGGGAAACAACATGTTGTAAGTATATTAACGATATATATCTTCTGCTCCATCAATTTTTTTTATAACATGATATATAACAATGATTATATATATATATATATACTATATATCATATATATATATATATATATATATATATATATATATATATATAAATTCTTGGTAATAAAAATAGTTGGAAGCTTATTTCCATGGTGGAATAATATATATAAATCTTGGTAATAAAAATAGTTGGAGCTTATTTCCATGGTGGAATAAGCTGGCTACTTGCTCATTTTAATTCATAAAATCCCCTCTGGTAGGTATATGCCTAATCATGTTGCAGCCTAACTTCTATGTGTATGTGAATGTTATTGGACTAGTCTAAGCTTGTTATCTTTTAGCAGTGGCTAGGTTGTATTTTCGACATATTCATTGCCCTATTTCACAGTAAAATCATGGATGAAATAACTTAAAAGTCATTTTGACCTAATGTATAGCCAGGATCAGTTGAATGGATCATTCTCTTCCATTCAATTTGGTATATTGTTGCCTTCTCAGTAAATTAGAGCCGTTAAATTATTTTCAGTTCCATCCTGCATTATTCTAGGTATGCGTCATGCTTTTCACCCGTTACAACTTCAATGTAATGTGCTCAACCTGTGCTTATATATTATTAGTGCAGTTGTTGGTTTAGAATTTGTGCCAAAATCATTTGAAATTTCTCTTTTTCTCTCAATAAGAGTCAGTTCCATCTTCATACAAATGTATTATCCAAGCCTTTTGTGCATATCTATATTTAGCATCCTGATTTTTGTGGCAGTAATCTTATTATGTGCATGTCATGGTAGATAATGTCGTGTTGCTTTTATGTATGTAATTGATTGCCAACTAGGTTTCATTTTCTCTTGAACTATCTTATTTAAATTCACAGTTTTGATTGGTTATTTCTATCCGCATAGAGGCCATTTCTTCTGTAATGATGTTTTTGTCATGAAATGAAGATGCTCTTGTTATGATCTATCACCGAATGATCCATCATGATGAGGAGAACAAAATAATGGCAATCAAAATAACTCCTTAGGCTGACTTGTGCTATTAAATTTCTCTATTTAATCACTATACTCTTATACATGTGAATCATAATCTTATCTCTTTTTGATGGTAGAAGGGTCTAAATCAACCAATGAGACCTGCCTACAATGTGAACACATGAATTTCTCATTGAAAGGCATTCAAACTCAAAATTTGGTAATGTAATTGACCTGTTCATGGACTGGGCTTGGTTTGGAAAATGTCAAACTTTTTCCAAAGGTCTGTCCCGCCCAACCTACAATTTCTTCACTGAGGTTTGTGGCTTGGCCTACATGCTGGTCTCCCTTGAAAGAGATAGCAGTTAGTCTTGGAGCGAGGGAATGAGAAAATGAGAAGATGATGTATGATGCAATTAAAAAATAAAGCTTAGGACTTATTTTCATTTAATTTTTAGTTTCGCCCTTTTTGTTTTTCAAAAAAATGAAAAATAAAGTTTTCTATGTAGAAGTATCATGTAATTCCTTATTTAGAATCTTAGTATGCAAATTTAGTGTTTTGATATTCATAATTAGGAACTTTAATAGGAATGATCACATGTTGAAAGTTGTTTATTAAGGATCTTCCCATTCTGGGGTCGTACACACCTTGAAATAGGAAAAGCAGTTCTATAGATATCATCAATCTTTAGTTAATTTATTAGGGTTGGAGTAATAAAATATGAATTCATTATTATTAATGATTTGAGGTCGGGCTAACCTAGTATATATGGTATGATGCGTGCTCTTTTCATTCAACTGTTTTTTTTTTTTTTTTTTTTACTGTTTTTTTTTTTTTTTTTTTTTCTTCTCTCTAACTGTTTTTTTTTTTTTTTTTTTCTTCTCTCTCTATTTTCTTCTCTCGAGACTACTAGTTATGGAAATTCTAGTTGTCACATCAATGAACAACTATTAAATTTTTTCCTACATCAGATCCACATGCACCTTTGGTCTTGAGTAATTTTTTATTAGTATGCTTTCTGTACATTCTTTTTTGACTATGGATTGACTGTAAAGCTTTGCTGCAAATGAGTGCACTTCTGTCTTTTAGCTTTTCCAATTTTGACTGATCTTTTCTTATGATTCTTTTCTCAGGCACCGAGGCCGTTGTCCCAAAAAGATATGGAGAAAGTTATTGCAACATCAACCAAGACAAGGGTTGCTGCAAATGATTACACTAGGTCAATCTCACAACAACCTGGGTGGTCTAGGCAGTCAGATGATTACCAGGTTCAGGCAACAATCAATGAGCTCTCTAAGCTTGTAGTTTCCCAGATATTGAACCTTCAATCATCAGATACCCAAGACCAAGACCGAGACCAAGACCCTTGAATTCTGGCAGTCTCCCTACTGTCATGTAAGATGATTCCATAGGAATTTTATGTGGTTTAGCATTTTGGGTACAGGTCCCATTCCCATTCAGAATATGTTATCTTTATAATCAACTTGAATACAGTAGGACGTATTCTTGAACGAGTTAGGATTCCAAATTTTGAAGTAGTAGAATGCTTACTCGCTGCGACATGGTTACAGCGCCTACAGAGCTTTCCTCTTGCTAATAGGAACTCACAAGAATGGTAACCATTTATTCTGGTTTTACTCGTGATCGATGGTTTGGAACTTCACTCAAATTTTTTGGATGTACTGATACATGCAAATGGGAGCGTTTGCTTCTCCCAGTGTGTATGTTTCTGTAAGGCATACTTTATTCATATACCAATATCAATGGTAATAAAATTTAGTTCATTTGCCTTTTTTTTTTGTTTTGTTTTTTCCATGGAATATTGACTTAGGTTTCCTGAAGAAGCATCTAAGCCAATCTTTTCTTATCCTTGTGGATTGTGAGATGTTTTCCATTTATAGGTCTTTAAATTTTGTTGTAATTAATATTCTCGTCCCTTTACTCCTATGAAATAACTGAGATGTTTTTAACTTTTGCTTCGATCCTTTCATTTTTACCTGTAAATGAGAGGAGAAAGTGTTTGTTAATTAGGACATGCTTTAAAAAGGTCCCTGTAGTAAATTTGGGTACTCTGGAAGTTATCCTGCATTTATTTTCATTTGCATGAGTTGGGGTTAGAGGGTGGGTATTCGCAAGCCAGTGGCAGTGCAGTGTGAACAAATTGAACTTTTAGGAATACATCGGAAAAAGTTGTATCGAATTGAATCTGCTATGGGACCAAATTGGAAAAGAACTATGTTTTTTCTATTAAAATTGAAATAAAGCTGATTTTTTTTTTGAAAAAAAAAAAAATCAAATCTGAAGTAGTTGGATTGTCGTTTTTACTAATTAAATTTTCTATTGAGTTCATACAATTAAATTAACCAAAAATGATTGAAGTAGATAAAGGAAAGGACTGGAAGTTTGAAGTCAAATCTGATTTGCTCTGCTCTGTCTAAAGCAAGCAAAATGGGATTTATCTCATACCTCCAAAGTCGGAAGCATTTTCTCATCATGAATGCATGTTTTGACAATAGTGTCAATCATTAAAGTTGTTTTTATTATTTCTTTTTTCTGGTACATATCACAAAAGGCCACACCATGCCAATTATTAAAGTGATTATATTTTGTTTTGAGGTATAATCATGAGATTTCGAAAACAAAACTGTCGAGGTAAGGTCAGATCACCCGGAACTAACAAATTAAAGGTAGGGAAATAATGGAAGGAAGAAAATATTTTGTTTTAATTATTTTTCCCTCTTGTATGGGATGGAATAGAATAGATATTTTCTTCTCTCCTTCTAAATAAGAAAAAATCTTTTTAACATTTGCTACTCACTCTACTGATGGGTTTCAATAGAAATAATACGCAGCAGAAAGAGATAATTATAACAAAATAATTATTTTATTAAGAATCCGTTTAAACGATTAAAACAATAAAATTGTTTAGAAGAATACATTTTTATTGATTTTTTAAAACTTCGATCTACGCAGTTAGATTGTAGCAAACTATAAGCTGTCCAAGTGCCCAATCTCTAGTAGTATCCATATGAATAAACAATCGAAAAATTTTAAAATTATTTCAAAGGGTTGAAAGATTAGAGAGTATAATTTTTAAGCTTTATGTTTAGTTTTGTGACTATGAACAACTACGGTCTATTAGATTGTCTCTGAAACCTTAAACCTTATATATGAAAACCTTAGATCATAAATAAATAAATTATAATTATTTATTTAAACCTTTTAAATAAATAAATTATAACTAAAAAATATATATATACCTATTTATTTGTTTAAATAATTTAAATAAATAAACCATAATACATATAAAAATATTACTTCTACCTATTTATTTATTGTTTAAATACATTATAATAAATTAAACCATTAATACATATCAGTATAGAATTGTTTTCAATTTAAGCAACTTATATTTATTTAATTTAACTATTTAAATAAATAAATAATTAATTAAAATATTAGGTTTATTTAATTAAAATTTATCTTAAGTTAAATTTTAGACGATAAATTCAATTAAGTTAATCATTTATAATTTTAGGTAAACTTATAATTAAATAAAATTTACAATCTGCCCTTAATGGTCCCAAACTTATTTGTAATCAAGTCATACTTGATTGTAATCAAGTCATACTTGATTTGATTTCTGTTTTTACTTTCTCATATCCATTCTTATGCGTGTAACCTTTTAGGTTCCAAATATGTTGGCAATAAATATAAATTAATTTAAATAATTAATATTTGAAGGCCAAGTACATTCTCTAGTAACATATCATGACTATCCAAATATTTGAAAAGTAAAAGTGGTTTGACTTAACCTTTTCGTGCATGATTTATAAGTGTAATTAATATCTCTTCATTATTAATGTTCTAATTTAGTAATTAGGCATGGAGTGTGTCTGCTTTACTAAATCATATTAGTTCTCTTAATCTTAGCTATTGATCAGTTGAATGAAATTTTAAATTTGATTTGCTAATTTTATTCTACCTTGCGCAATGATTTCTTAATCAATACTAATAGAGAACAATTAAAACATTTTTCTTGATTTATCTAGGGCAATGAATCCTCTCTTAATTACATAAATATCTCATACAGTTCCTGTACTATATCCAATTAATCATTGCTTATTATTTATAAATGAATAATGTGAATGAAGTATCAAAACATAATCATCTTCATACAAGATAGCTTAGTAATTTCAAGTTAAAGGATCAGTTACACAATTATCACTTAAGTATTTCATAGATACAAGTAACTCTCCGTATGAAATTTCCATGCAGGTCTACTCAGTGGACTTGTTCAAATAACAAGAACCTACATATTAGTTCTAGATATCACATATATCTCAGCTTACGAGAACAATTGTTTCCCTAAGAAAAGAACATAATATGTACTAGTTTCAACAGCTCTAATTATCGTCTAATAATAAGGGGAACATTGACTAGGAATATTTAGAGACATTGCTTTAATGCAAAATTAAACTCATAATTATAACCATATTATAATTTACTTTGCAAAGCAATATTTTCTCATGGACTTTATCTTTTACTAAGATTCAATAAATAGAATATAAAAGATAAATAGATGTCAATAAATAGAATATAAAAGATAAATAGATGTCTTTTATTAATAATAACATATTTATACATGAAATATTATATCCAAAATATAACCAATCAAATTGATTATAGGACATATAACTAACATATACAAGATTAGGAGTGTAAAAGTTAGATCATTGATAAAACCAGAAAGAAAACTAAAATTCTAATTGCTAAAAAATTTATTTATTTATCTTACAATATAAATTTAAATCAATTTTATTGCTTAGGTGAGATTGAGAGAGCAACATTTAGTATTTAAGAGAGTAAAACTGGTATTTGAGAATCAATATTTGAAATTTGGAATATTAGTTTGTAGTATAAACTAAACAAAATTATTGAAGACTTATAAAATTAACTTATTTAACAATAAATAAATAATTATAAAGCTATCTCTGAGATGAGATGGTAAGGATTCCTTCTCCTTCAATTAGAAGTCTCGAGTTAGAGTCTTGAGTATAAAGTCACTTTAAATACTGAGGAAGACATGCTCAATCATTCGTGGGCTTGTTTGGTATGAAAGATTAGTTGAAAAGTGAGTTTCGAATACCAGATAGTTAAACCAAAATAACCAATATAATGTATAAAAGCAAAAAATTTTATTTTAAATGATAGTCTAGTGTAAGTCTCTCAAATTGCAAAGTGTAAAGAGAGTAGCAATTATTTAGCATAATTGTAAGAAGATAAGTTGTTTTATATTTTGAGATAATATCATGTAAGAGGAAAAGAGAAAAGAAAACTAAACTAATATTAATAAATAAAAACTATTTTATTTGGAAATAGGAAAGGAATATTAGGGAAAAGAATTCTAATAATTTTGTCTTCAAATTAGAAGGAAAATAAAAACTATAAAAATAAAAATAAATTTATAAAGAAAAATTAATTTTATTTTCTTTTATATAAAAAAATAAGTAACATAAGTTTTTTCTGAAAAAAAAATTTAGTTCCTTCTTATTTTTTCTTAAATTTAGTTTCAAAAAATGTCAATATTCAATCAATTGGCTAGTCTTAATTTTTCTTGTTCATGATTTTTTTTAATTCAATAAACTCTCTCTCACGATTAGAGTTACGCTTTAACGAAAATTGATCATTGGAAGAATTGACTTGTAATCTCAACTCTTTACTATTTGCATTTTCCTTCCTCTATTAATTTTATTTTTCTTTTATATAAAAAAATAAGTAACATAAGTTTTTTCTATAAAAAATTTAGTTCCTTCCTAATTTTTCTGATCATTAATAAAAAATCATTAATAAAAAAAAAAGACACAAAAACAAATTAAATAAAACACTTCATTTTTTCTTAGTAATAAAAAAAATCTTGGTTGATTAGCTAGGTATATGGAGTAGTCTCATATATTGGGAGCTAGTTGCAAGGACATGGGGCACGAGATATGAAAACGTATGTAATACGATAATTTTTAAAAAAGTAGGACATCCACACGCTTAGGACACACTACACTAAATAAGTATAATACATTAATATTTCAAATAAATAATCAATTATTCATAATAAATCATAAACATAAAATAAAAAATACTTAATTTCTTATTTCAATATAATTAGTTAAATTCTCTTATTTCAATATAATTAGTTGAATACATTCTCAAATTAATTATCATTGTTGACAATACAGATAACTAGTGTTGGTGAATACATTAATATTTCAAATAAATAATCAATTATTCATAATAAATCATAAACATAAAATAAAAAATACTTAATTTCTTATTTCAATATAATTAGTTAAATTCTCAAAATTATTATCATTATTGAACAATACATTAATAGTGTGTGTGCATTTTGTGATACAGGTCATACTAGGAGCGTCAAAATGGGTAATGACACCCGAACACGATCCGCCTAACACGCGAAATAAATGGGGGAGGGGGGGGAGGGTTTAGGTTAAATGGATTCGTGTAATAAACGAGTCACCCATTTATGACACGAACATAAATATGCCGTGTTGCAGGTTGACACACGGATTAGACGAGTGACCCGTTTATTTAAGAGTAAAGAGGTAATTTTAGTGTTAGATATAAATACTCCAACTAAAACCTATTTAAATGTTATTGTGATATTACTTTTTTATTTTAATAATGAATCTTGAAGAATTTATGCATTTTACGTATGAAAATTTATTTTTAAATATGACTGGAGTTAAATAGGTTAAAATTTAAAAATATTATGAGCAGGTTAAGTGGATTGTATACAGGTCAACACCACCCACTTAACATGTTTATGATATTAAGCGGGTTACAGAAGTCGTATATGGGATAATAAGACTCACTTAACCTGTTTATGATATTAGGTAGATTAAATGTGTTGTGTTCGTTTCACTTGCCTAATTTTCATGTCGTGTTTTAATATAATTATCAAATTAGTCGTGTTCGCGTTGACCATAGTCGTATCGTGTGTTAGGCGAATTGTGTCGAACTTGATACGACAACCCATTTTGCTATTACATACCTTGGTAAAAAGTTTCACAGGATCTTAAAAAGACACATCTTAGCATTGCAACTTTTTTTTACATATTTCAATGAGATAAAATTTTGTAACACATTTCACAATCATTTTATTATACAATTATGTTATTTTTGAATAATGTTATAAAAGATTATTTCATTCTTTAATATTGCTCCGCGCATTGTGCGGATTTTAATACTAATAATTATAAAAGCTGAATAAAATAATCTGTATAGACAAAAAAAAATAAAAAAAGAGGTACAAGGATAAAAAAAAAAAATTACTTTTCATTTTTCAAATAATTATTTACCCCTCCTTTCATATAGGACATAAAAATTTGAAGGCTTACGTTCGGTCTTTCACTTTCAAATAAAATCTTTTCCAATATATTATATATCATATCAACAAATAATTGATGGTCAGGATTCGTTTCCATATATTCAATAGCCATTACAATTTCAAACGACAGTTCATTGATTTTTTTTAAATCATTGGAGGGTCAATATATTCATATAAATGAAAATATCAATCATATTACCGGCAAACAAGCGTTTATTGTTATTAACAAGAAAAAAAATATAACAAATAAAGACATATTTGGCCAACGTGAGCTGTCAAATTTTGGCTATGAAATTTCTCCTTTTGCTCACAAAATGCAGTTGTAATCGTAAACCTTTAACCTTGACCAGTATATTCTCTTCTTCTTGTCAAAACAAAACAAAGTACACTTAAAAATCCAAGTGGCAGTTTTTGAAATCATTCAAAATGAAACTGCTTTAATGTTCAAACTAACACAACATTGAACAATGACATATACACAATTTTGGACTTCTTTGCATTTAATTTTCTTCCCCTTTCTCTCATTTTCCTTTTCATTTTGTTGATTTGTATTCATAAATTGGATTGGTATTTAGTTGGTAGCATATAGAGCCAATTAAGATTATAACTATTAGGATAGAATTGTCTAGATACGGTGCATCCAACATAAATTAAATTAATGAAAATATAATTTTTGGTTGAAACGAGGGTATTTTTTTTATCATACACTAGGAAAAAAAAGAATAAATAAAGCCAATTAAGATTATTTTTTAAAAATATTCTTATTTTCATTAGTTTAGTCTATAAATAGAGCCATTGATTCAGTTTAAATCCGTAACTGTTTATAACAAAAGAAAGAGAAGGTATTACGTGGATTCAGTTCAAACTCAATCTAATAATAAAAATAAACTAAAGTAATTGGTGTATGCAATTAAAAATTGATATTTTTGGGTGTAATTAAGACAAGATACCGGTGGTGGTTAATAGACACCATTTTGGTTAGGCAGGAATTTGAAACATTTATATCAATGGACTTTCTTGGAAAACTACCAAATCAATTTTAGGCTGTATCCTGAAATTCAAACAATATATATTTTTTTAATTTAAATTTAATTTATACTAAAACATAATTCCTATAAAATCACATGAGTAATGACTTCAATGAATTAGGTAGCATTTTTGTCATTTTCTCACATGATGACCCCAGAACTTGCCTATATGGGTTTTTAGCCTGCTAGGGTAGAGCTGTATACAAATGGCATGTGCTGATATACATATATATCTCACATGGAAGTGACCCAAAGAATTGCCTAGTATGGGTGTTTTAGCCTGCAGGGTGAGCTGTATGACAAATTGGCAATGTGGCTGATAGTACAATATATAATAATATATTATTGAATATTATATAGAATATCATAAATATATAGTATATACTTATATGAATAGACTAAGTATTTTAATTTGCACATCAAACAGTAATTTTAAAATCCTAGATTCATTTGTGATTGAGTAAACAAAGTACCAAGTAAAATTGAATAAAATTAAAACAAATACCTTATATATGTTCCATTGAGTTGGTTTTTTATATATATTTTAATTTGCACATCAAAAGTATTTTAAAATCCCTAATATTTGATTGATAAAACAAATACCCAAGTATAAATTGAATAAATTAAAACAAATACCTATATATGTCCGATTGAGTTGGTTTTTTCTATATTCTACTCAATCCTAAAAAGAAATGCATGCGTGTCTATTCAAACATACATAGAGCTCCAATTGACCATGAGAATTCCAAAGTAAAAACAAAAATTAAATTCTAGTATTATATTATGAATAAATTAATAATAAAAAATTTTATAAAAACCCATATGGTAATTAATTTAATTTAAGTAGCCCATTGTCGACCCTCTGGTCAAGCCTATTGATTATTGAATATACAAAATAAAGAAGCTAAAACATGTTGAATTATTCAAAAATCAAACAAAACTTTAATAGTAGTCTATATGTTTAGTCATACATTCACAGCCAATGCCAATACCCATATTAATTTCCTTCCCTCTTCTCACCCCTTTGACCCATATTGGCCGGCTCATGTCTTCACTATACAAAACCTGTATCCACCATCCCCACCATTAAAGAAACAGCAACCTCCTCCACCTCTATCTATCTGACAATTCAAAGACTCACTTTCTTGCTTTTTCCCTTATTTTCTATCTCAGATATTGGTTAACTATTACTTTCTTGAATCTTGATCATGATCTCTACCAACATAATTCTTGCTTTCTTCTCTCTCTTTATCGGATTTCTCTTCTTTCGGTTTTTATCAAAAACATCTTTTCTGCAAATTCTTGTGAAGTATTTACAATCTTTTGAAGACTATTTTCATGTCTATCAATTCTTTACAGTTCCACAGTACAATGAACATTTCCAAGAAAATCTTCTCTACAACAAGGTATCTTCCTACCTAACCTCCTTACCCGCAATTGAAGATTCAGATTTCACTAATCTCTTTTCAGGCTCCAAATCTAATGAGATAATCCTCCGTCTCGACGCTAAACAAGTTATTCAAGATAATTTTCTTAGTGCTAGAGTATGGTGGATTAACCAGAAATCTGAAAATGATGGAAAAAGAACATTTGTGCTGAAACTAAGGAAGAAAGATAAGCGCAGAATTCTACGGCCTTACTTGCAGCATATCCTTTCTCAAGCCGATGAAATTGAACAGCGAAAGAAAGAGATTAAATTGTATATGAATGTAGAGAATGAGCCTCAAGAAAATGGACGGTGGATGTCTGTTCCTTTTACACATCCGTCCACCATGGATACGGTGGTTATGGAAGCTGACTTAAAAAATAAAGTCAAAACTGATCTTGAATCTTTCTTGAAGTCCAAACAGTATTATCATAGGCTTGGGCGTGTTTGGAAACGGAGCTATCTTCTTTATGGACCTTCCGGCACCGGTAAATCAAGTTTTATAGCTGCAATGGCTAAGTTTCTCAATTATGATGTGTATGATATTGACATTTCAAAGGTTTGTGATGATTCTGAATTGAAAATGCTTTTATTGCAAACGACAAGTCGTTCAATGATTGTTATAGAGGATCTTGACAGATTCTTGATGGAGAAATCAAAAGCAGCCGTAAGCTTATCTGGGCTGTTGAATTTTATGGATGGGATTATTTCTTGTTGTGGAGAAGAAAGAGTTATGGTTTTTACTATGAATAGTAAAGATCAAGTTGTAGAACAAGCAATAATGAGGCCAGGAAGGATTGATGTTCATGTAAATTTCCCTTTATGTGATTTCTCTGCATTTAAGAGTTTGGCTAACAATTACTTGGGAGTTAAGGAACATAAGCTTTTCCCTCAGGTGGAAGAAATTTTCCATTCTGGAGGAGTAAGTGTAAGCGCAGCAGAAATTGGGGAAATTATGATTTCTAACAGGAATTCGCCGAGTCGAGCTCTGAAATCGGTCATTTCAGCTCTGCAAACGAATAATAATAGGAGGTTGAGTGAGAGTAGATCGGTCCGGTCCGGCGATGAAACAGGGGAACAGCCTGAAGGAGGTGTGTATTGCAGAGAAAGTGTGCATACAGTAAGAGAGTTCAGAAAACTGTATGGACTGTTGAAAATGGGAAGTAGAAGAAAGGAAGAGCCAATAGAGTTGGGCTCAGTAGATAAGGAAGGATCTAGGCATGGAGCTTAATTAAAGTCCAAAGCAACTTACTATTTTTTTTCATATCAAATGTTCAATTAGTTAGGACATAGAATTTTGCAACTTTGACATTTCTTTGTGTAAAAATATATCACTGCAATTTGTTATGTTAGTTAATTTTAATGTAACATCAAAACAAACTATAATACAGTTAGATTTTTCTTTTTTCTCCTTTTTCTTTTCTTTTTTAAAATGTAATTCCTCCATGTATTTCTTTATTAATTCCCTTTTTTTAAACTCTAAAAATGGATGTGCCATTTAACCCTCGCCGTAAGATGTACTTGTCACTCTAAGTATAGAAGATAAAATCAACAACTACTATGTCATTTTTGTCTACATTAAGGGTTTCATTAGTTTAACATTGGTACTACCTTATAGTTAATAATGGTTATTGATGTTAATAACTACTGAGTGATAGATGTTAAATAATGAATGTTAGCATTTTGTAAAATTTTTATAATTTATTGTGATGTAAAATGTTTTCATATCGTATATCAAATATATATGTGTATTTTTTTTATTTTGAAGATATATATACTTTTTATGTATTAGTTAATTTTTTATAAATAAAAAATTAATGGTCATATAAGGTGATATACATAAATAATATTAATTAATAAATAAAAATATATTTATTTCTTATATAAATAGAAAATGTTAATTAATTTTATAATATTTAATGTTTATATATTGTCTTTAATTAATATAAATAAAATGATCATATAATATATTAATTTGAAAAAAAAAACTTTAGTAGTCATTATTTTTATAAGGTTAATCAAGTACAACTATATATAACTATAAATATCACGTAGCAACTAATAGTAAAAATCACCTAGAATGTAGTTGATGAAAATAATAGTTGATTAAGACTTTTGTCAGTTATCTACTACAGATTAAAATCTTTACCAAATACTTTGAATTTAGTTGTTGGGTGTAAATTCTCTATATTTGTTCTAAAAAGATAATGCATCTTTCTATTTTAGTCTGTCTCAAAATATAGTAGTCCATTTCCTTTTTTTTTTTATATTATAATTAATCTTTAAATTATCTATCATGCCCTTATTAAGTTTTACTCCATCCGTCTCAACAAAATAATTCAACTTCTATTTTCACACATATTAAAAAAATAATAATTACTATGATTAAAGGACAATTTTGTTCATATAACTTTCCTATTATGCCCATCTTAAATACTCCCTATGTTCTCTTTATCTAGAGAAACTTTCTAATTTGGGCGTTTCATTTATATAGAGAGCTTTACTCAAAATGGAAACTTTGGAGAGGATGTCTGATGAAAAAGTCCAAAATGCCCTCATATTAGTTTTGTAATACGCGTGCAGATTGTGGTTTGAATGAGAAAAGTGGCAAACAAAAGGAAAGACATTTAATGCATTAAGTTTTCAAAGTCTGACTGGATGACTATTTTTCAATATGTATTTTAACAGTGTGCTCGACTTTTGGATGCGAGCACACACATGAGTGACAATTTGTGTAATTATTCAAAATATGGACACACAATTGAGGTATAGTGTATCCACCTTTTATCATTTTGTGAACACATGTAATAGATGCACTCAATTCAGGCCCTAGAGAATGAATTGTCATTTATCATTCTTTGCACACATGAAATAGATGCGCCCAATTCATGCGCCAGAGAATGAATTGTCATGTGACGTCTAAGTGAGATTTCTGTTATCCTATATGCTGGAATTTGAACTCTTTTTCTTTTCCTCTTCCATACACCTTCATGCGAGAAATATTATTCTTTGGATGGATATTGGCATTTTGCCAAATCTTATAAATTGACCTTAAAGATATGTTAAATGTGGCTGCAACTTTTTTTTATAACTATGCATATTTAGGTTACCATGTTGCAACTCAAAAAAAAGCATGGTGCTTATAGAATTCTTTATATGATTTGATATATTTTTTCTTTTTTTCTCATTGCCTGCAACAACATTTTTGATGACTCATTTCAGGAACCATCATAATGCATTCTTCTGCATCAAGTAAGGAGTTTAAATATGACAGATGAAAAGTTGCCTGTATATTGTGAGAATGTGTGGGCGAATTTGTTGGAACTTCATTGAGATAAAATGAAAATGAATTATTCATGATGCTAGAAAAATATTATTCTCCTCTTTTTGTTGCCCTTAGATGTGTGGATGAATTTGTTGGAACTTCATTGGGATAAAATGAAAATGATTATTCATGATGCTAGAAAAATATTGTTCTCCTCTTTCTGTTGCCCTTTTTTCTCATTGCCTGCAACAACATTTTTGATGACTCATTTCAGGAACCATCATAATGCATTCTTCTGCATCAAGTAAGGAGTTTAAATATGACAGATGAAAAGTTGCCTGTATATTGTGAGAATGTGTGGGCGAATTTGTTGGAACTTCATTGAGATAAAATGAAAATGAATTATTCATGATGCTAGAAAAATATTATTCTCCTCTTTTTGTTGCCCTTAGATGTGTGGATGAATTTGTTGGAACTTCATTGGGATAAAATGAAAATGATTATTCATGATGCTAGAAAAATATTGTTCTCCTCTTTCTGTTGCCCTTAGTTTAAAAAACTTATTAATGTAATTACATGTTCATGTTCTGTTCCAAATTTGTATAAGTGCATATTGTTGAAGTTGATTCTAAAACTAAGAGTATAAAAAATTTTGGCTTTCCACATTTTCATTATATTTGAGAGCATTTGATTGAAATTGCTCAAAAGTTTCGAAAATGAGAGAATTCAAAATTTTAAATATGGAATTTTAATTTGGAAAAATTTGAAAATGGATAATTTAATGCCATTAGCTCACAATACCCTCTATTTTTGGCTAAAATCTTGTAATTAATGATCCTTTGGGAGTCTATCTGCATGAGTTGGCTATCCATCAAATAAAGAGCCCATTTAATGTTGTTTAAGGGTAAAATAGGTATATTTTGAGAAAACTATTCAATTAAACCACCTTCTTAATCTCTGTGCAAATTCAGTTATCTTTATAATGGAATAACACGTAAGAATTAATGAAGGTTATTGAAAATACGATTAAATTTAATAAGGATATAGTAGACAATTAATGATGAACTATAAAGTAAAAAGAAAAGTGGACTATATTTTGGGACAAACCAAAAAAGAAAGACGAACTATCTTTTTGGGACGAAGGGAGTGTCTTATGTTCAATAATCTTCATTAATTCATTACTTTTTCCAAGTTAGTGTTTCTTTTAATTCATATGTTATTTAATAAGTAGTTTTATTCTTCTATTTTTTTCCTCTTGAATTTTAAAAAGTAATCAATGTTAGTCGCTCTCATTAATTGTAATTTATATTCCTATTTTATATTATCAATATGGTTTTTTATTAATTTAATATAAAAATTACTCATGTGTTATTTAAAGTGGTATAATAGAAAAATTGACGCGGAATCCTATGAAAATTAATTCCAAAAACTCTATGATAAGATTGGAATAGTTTCAAAGATCAAACTAAACTCCCCCTCTATGGCACCCAAAGCTTAAGGAAGTAATAACACCAATAATAGAGTAAAAGAATAAGATAAATGCCACAAATAAATTGATAAGTTTACCTTGATTCTTGATGCAATTAGAGGAAAGCAATCTCAATAATGAAGTAAGGAAAGGAAAGATAATTAATGCCAACACTAAATAAATGATAAGTTTACTTGATTCTGTATGCAATTAGAGGAAAGCAATTCACAATCACTGCCTAATCAAAAGAACAACGCCAAGGTGAACAGACTGGTAGATTTATTAATGTAATTGAAGTGCTGTCTTTTATACAAACATAACAACCTATTTATGACAAAATCCATAAAAGGGTCCTGATCCTAAAGGAATTTGAGAATAATTAATCAAATCAACGTAAGGATAAGGAGTTAAACTAATCTAGAAACCAGCTAAAGGATAAGGGGATAATTAATGCCAAGTCCAAGCTAAGGATTAGGAATAAGCTAGAGTACCATAAACAACTAAGAATAAGAGAATAGAGATTAATCAACCAACTTAAGGGATACAAGAATAACATCAAACAACTAAGGATAAAGGAATAATTAATCCAAACCAACTAAGGATAAAATAACACAGAGTTGGCCCAACCCGGGATTAACAAGACATTTATAACTCACAAACAGCATTAACAACAGAACGGAGCCCCCCCCCTTTTAACTTATTACGCAGAGAAAGTTAGGACTCACTAGTACGGGCCAGAGGCGTGAGCACTACTCATCAAGCATATGGGCTCCAATCGAATGTGAAGAGAAGCCTAGGAGTCTTCATAGTTCCCAATCAACCTTGGTGAAAGCGAAAGATCATGAAGCGTGTGTGTAACTGGTCTTGAACATATAAGGACATGGGCTGTCCCATATCCTGTTGTGATGACTTGCTTGGTAATTGGTATCCACTAGGAAGAGTAAGAAGCCTAGGTGTGCCTTCAAGTTCCAAACAACACTTGGTGAAAGCAAGATCATGAAGCGCTTGTGTAACTTGGTCTTGAACATATAAGGACATGGCTGTCCCATATCTCTTTGTATGACTTCTTGTAATTGGTCCACTAGGAAGCAGCAACAGATCTCCTTTGTTGTTCTCCATGCTTTCTTGAGCTCTATGGTTGAGTGGTAGCGAATCCGTATCAAAAATCATGGTGACAAAATTGTCCACTAACCATAATAATTTTATTTCTTAATGTGTGAAAAAAAAAAGTGGATTAACTTTTGAGGACGAAGAGAGTACTAACTAAATCAAATGCCTTTTAGGCTAAATTAAGAGGCCACGAGAACCAAAGCCTTCAACATGTCATTTAATGTTTTTTTTCTATTTGTTGAAAATATGCATATATTTTTGCTTAAAGAAAGTACTCCCTATGTTCTCTTACGTTAGAGAAAATAGAAAAGCTTTGGGATTAAAAAAATAGTTAAATTTTACCTATTTTTACCTATAATACCCCTAATCAACTTTAAATACATAATTAATAGTGAGAAAGCCAACTCAATAATAAAGTATTCTAAGGGGGCATTTATTAGTAAAAATCTTTAACAATTTGTAAGAGCCTCCTCAACTTCAAATTGGAATATTTTAGTAGATTTACATCGTTTTCGAAAATAGGGCACTAGTAAGAAGGACATTACCTTCGGACATCACTGGATATGAG